GCGTATGCCTGTTGTGCCACACTTGGGAGGCTGAGGCAAGAGGACTGCCTTGAGTTTGAGGCCAGCCTGGGATACAAGGTGAGACCCTTTTTTAAAAATGTATTTAGTACAGGGTCTATGTTTGTTGGGTTTTAATATTTTCTTCAAACTTCCAATGGTTTATAAACCCCTTGCATTTATTTATTATGTATTTAGCACAGGGCCTACAAGGTCTCACTACACAGAACTTAGTGATCCTGTTTTACAAGCTTATGTCCAGTCTCAATCGCTCAGTGTGCCCCAGGGGTGGGACCAGAGTGGCAGGCGGGGGATCGAACCGTAGTCCTTGCATCTGCCTAAGCAGGCGCTTTAATCCGCTGAGCTATCTGGCCAGCCCTTCCCTTGCTTTTTAATGTAAGCTTTTCTCCTGATCATGGCCCTGTGGCATCCCCTGAGCCGCTGTGCTAGTCCGGCTCTGTCCCTTAAGTCCTGCCGCCTCTTCCCTTCCGTGAGGACAGTGTCTGTTTACCTTGGCAAGTGTGGGCTTGCCCAACGGCAGAAACTGAGATCGCAGCTGAGCTGTCAGCAGAGCACGGGGCACCAGTGAGCTCGGGTGGGTGGACCCAGGTCCAGAGCTGGAGGAGCCGCCAGCGGAGGGCCGCCCCGTGAAGTCTCCTCCCTGGGGAACCAGCACGCCACAGAGGAGTTGAGTGCCGGTGCTGGCTTGCTCCAGTTGTTTTTTTACTTCTTTTTAAACTTTTTTTTTTTAATTTGTAAGAGCTCTGTAAATTTCTTGCTTTCTTTTTATTTACAAAGAAAAGTTTTATTTGTAACAGACAAAAAAAAAAAAAAAAAGAAGACAATGTTAACAGAAGTGATGTGGGGACATTATGACACCATTGCATTTGGAAAATTAGAGGTGATTAATCCCCACCCTGTCCAACAAATTCCGTGCTCTCATGTCACTCAGTGATACATTTAGACGTATTTAAAATGATTTTACATTCTACCTCGTATTTTTTTTAACACATTAGGTTTAATTAGGTTTAATTGGAGTTTTTACAGTGTCTTGGCTGTTTTAGAAATGAAGCCTACGTTAAGGCCTTCCTTTGCGCTTGAGTAGGAAGCGTGGACCTTTGCAGTCCACGTTCATGAAGACCACAGGACCAGTGGTTCTCTGCTGCAAGGTGCCCCTCCTGTGGGGTGGGGCCTGCTGCCAGGAAGTGGGGACACAGCAGAGCCCCATGTGAGGGACGCCCCTGCAGTGGCAAGAATGCCCCAGTGTGTGGTGTGGACTTGGGGACACAGGGTCCTGCTGTTGTCACCTGGGTCCCTGGCCGCACCGGGCTGCTCCTGACCCTCCTGCGTGGCCACATGTGGCCGACTGGAGCGCAGGGAGCAGAAGGGCTGCACTGTCTCCGCCTAGCTCTTCACCCCACCAGTGGCCAGCCCTCGGGCCCTGCAAGCCTTCGCGCAGATGCACTCTGATAGTAAACCAGGTGGCAAGGGAAGGTACAGATGTGGACCGCTTGCCTCGAGAGACACAGGTCATGTCAGTGTCAAGAGTTTTGTAACCGTGATGTGGCAGGTGAGAGACTGTCACTCACTGCCCTCCCCAAGCCTTGGCATGGCCCTTCCTGGCAGCTGTCACATGGCACTCAGTGGCTTCACTCCTGTTGGCACACTGGCTGGCATGAGCGCTGCCAAGAGTTCTTAGCCTATTTAATTTCATAGTTAATAATACACCACACACTAGGAAGCCACTCTAGAGTGAGCGCGGGATGTTCCGCAACTTTACCATTAGCAAGCTTTTCTCTTTTTTTGGGTGCTAGGGATGATCCAACCTAAGGCCTCGCTTGGCAAGCAACAGGCCACCGAGCTACACCCTGCTGCTTTTATCTTTTAAAGGTGGTGGTGAGAAGCCAGAGAAGTGAGGCCATCCTGGCGCCAGCGGCAGCCCATGCCAGGAACAGATCCTGTCTTACAGCTTCACAAATCCCTCAGATCGGGCATAAGGACTACCCTAAGGGCTGTTACACATCTTACTCGGTGGGTGGCACTGTCTTCTGAAAGCCTCGCTGCTGACCTGAAGCTGAGGCCTAAATGATGATGATGAGAAGGTTGAGGAATGCAAACGAACGTGCCCGTAGAGGGCAGGGTCTCAGGCTCGTGGGGCGGCAGGCGCTGGGCCCGAGGACAGCAGGGTGGGTGGCCAGAGGGTGAGGAGAACGACCGACGGTGTGCAAGGTGCGCCTCCTGACGTGAAAAGAAACCAGTGTGTTTTCCAATAGTGGAATACAGTGCTGAGGGCTGTCCTGGTCTCACTCCCAAGCACAGCATGACCCTGTGAGCTCGCAGGGTCTCCCTGTCAGGCCGCCCAACTCAGGGTAAGGAAAACACACTGTGAGTCAACCAGAGTGGGACTGGACCAGACCTTTGTCACCTCAGGACCTCCAAGTACTCTGAAGCAACACGTGCCGGCATGCCATCATGCTGATAGCTAACGACTGTCTCCAAGAATAAAAGTGTCTTAAAAACTCTATAATTTCACTCTTGGTAAATGGTAGAAACTGTTTTCACTTTTCATGCCCAACTGCTACTGCCAATGGAATCTGGTTAGTCGGGCCCTCAGCTGCGTTAAGGTTACGGTACTGCCTCAGCCCACGCATGAGAAGGCAGGTGGCAAGCCTGGCTGCAGAGCCAGGGCACTGAACGAGGTCCCAGCGCAGAGGAAAAGGCGCAAGGGGCTCCTGTGCTTGACACCAAAGGACATGATGCAAGGCAGGAAGCATTAAGAAATGCTTTGGACTTTCTGTATTTAGAATTATATGTGTATTTTTATGTATCATTTATAGAATGACATGCTGAGTCCCCCTTCTACCTGTAACTAGTTGCTGAAGCTTTTCTGTCAGGTACTCAGATAATCAGTACTTATAAAATGACAGGAAGTAGTTTTAGGTTAACAGAGGAGCATGCACACTTAAGTTCCAGGGACAAGAATGTGACAGGAGCCAACTCTTCCCCTCAGGACCAGGAAGGGCAGGACATGAAGTCCTGGCAGCTGGTCTTTCTGCCCGTGTGAGCAGGGACCCTGGACCTGAGGTCACTCCCGGCAAATCATGAAGGCTAAAAAACCGCCACACACTGATTGACATTTTAAAACTACTGACTTTCTATTTGTCACTCAAACCTGGCCCAACCTTTAAAGTTCGCTTGCAGCACCAATTTGGCCAGGGCAACATGCTTCGCTCTGGCGTGTGGACGCGCGCTCCCCGCACCCCGTGGCGCAGTCCAGAAGCGCACCCCACGGCGCAGCGCGGGCGCGACATGCCTGTCCAGGGACCCAGCCATTCTCGCCCTAAGCATTTATTTCAAGAAAAGGCATGGATGTACACAAGGTTCGGTGAAGTGTTGTTTATAACTGTGAAAAGATATAAATAGTCAAAAAAATCTCCAGTAGACAAATAAATTATGATTCAGTCACACAACAGAGTAATAAACCAAGAAAAAGGCTGCGGAAGACGAGGCATGACCCGGGAACAGGTTCACAATGTATTGTTGAGTGAAAAAAGCAGGTTACAAAACAGTATGCACAATATGAGCCCATTCTTATAAAAATATACATATTTTGCAAAGTAAAAGGACAAATGATATTTATCAAAATCTTAACATTGGTTAGTGCGGCGCAGCAGGCCGGCCGCTGACTGCTCAACAAGCCCTTCCCTTCCCTTCCCTTCCCTTCCGGCACCAGGGCTTTTCTCCGGGGCTGAGCGGGCCGCCGCCGCCTCAGAGCGGCCCTCGCTCCCCGGGCTCCCGCAGCAAAGCGACGGCTTCTGTTCAGACCACGTCTGGAAGTGGCGGTGTGGGACAGGTGACAGTCACTCAAGCTTCCTTCCGGGCAAGGACACAACAGCCATTTTCAGTATTAAATTAAAAATCCCTTTGGGTTATCACCACAAAGAACAGATGAGAAAATACAAATTCTCACTTAGAAAAGCAACACCCGGTACACACTGCCAGATTATACAAAGTGACTTCATCTAGGTTGAGCTTATTGCGAAGATCAAGCCGGCACGCGACGAGCTGGCCCGCCCAGAGCACGCGCGCACCTCCACGCGGCTCCCACGTCTGTGCAAAAGGTCTGTCCACGCGAGGACGTCGCCACGGGAGCCCGGCGTTTCCAGCCCAAGGGACAGGCGAAGCTGCTGCCCCGCAGACCAAACCCCTCTGCAGCAAGAGGGTGTGGTAATACTGAGGATGGCCCAGCTGGGCAGGAAGGCCGGGCGGAGGGCCCGTGCAGGCGAGCAGGGCTACAAAAGCGAAACGGAAATGAAGTCCAGCGCTCCCGGCGGCCGCGGGACGGAAAACTAATCTAGTGCTTCCAGGGGCTCCAGAAAGAGGACAAGGATGGCGAGGCCACACCCGGCACCAGAGGGCAGCGCAGGCCCGGGCGGAACAGGGCAGGTGGCACTTGCTTTCGCATCACCACTCAGCCAATTCCATTTCTTAAGAAATGGTGCTGCTTAAACTATGTTTTACCAAAAAA